TTGGTTTTATATAACATTCATCATCCAAAGGATTGGAGAGCACTACTGTGTTCAGATACGAGTGTTTGAACTGAGGGATGGCCAGACGCGGTTCTTCATGCCAGGTGAGCAGTCGCTGTCTGTGCTTTAAGAGGTAATAGCCTTTCTACAAATCTGACATAGTATCTGCACCTCACTATTACTTTAGGCATTAATCATTAAGGCAAGAAAATTGCTCAACTCTGGCCTTTCTCATTTTCCTTGAAAAACTGTCTGTCTTAGGACTGATTTTAGGTCCAAGCACAGACATGAAATAGGGATAACTGCAGTTTTGCTTATATTTCTTTTATTAAGGTCTTAAAACTTACACACTATGCCTATGATTTTTTGCTCCTAGTATTCTATTTTATAGCACTTAAGGACTAAGTCTTACAGATGTGTCTGCAAGGGAATTGGCATCAAGATGTGAAATGCCTGTGCAGTGCTGCAGAGTGCAGTTCATACTCACAGGAGGTTTCCACTAACTTGTTTGGACAAACTGAGTAAATGTCAGTGGGAATTCTGACCCTATGCGTTACATTAATCTTCATAACTACTCATGCAGATGTGTACATGTTTCTAGGATGGAGATGGATTTTTTTCAAGTTAACTTTTGCAGTGCATTACTATTTGGAACAAGAAACAGAGGCTTCTGGCATCCAAAGCTACTTGTGCTCCTTGGCTCTGATAAGGAGAGAGACAGCTCCTCACAGCAAACAGCCACCTCTGCCTCCAAGGAGGAGGGGCAGGAGGGGACCCCAGCCCACGGCAAGAACACGTCACCAACAGGATTTGCAGGATTCAGACCAATCCCTGCACTATCCGAAGCTCTTCTCCACAGCTACACAGACTTTATAAGAACCACCAGAACTAGAGATTTGTGTCTATCCATCTGCCCTGCTTCCCATGTACCTCCCTCTTTCTCCTACCCCTACATCACAAACACACCCAACTTTACATGTGCTTTACGAGGTGATCTGATAAACAGAAACCTCTTTGAGGGGTGGGTGTATAGCAGGTGAGGAAGGTGTTATATGGTTTAGAGCAGTTTCTGTAGGGTGCATCAGTCCAGGGGAGGTTCACACAAGCAGCACCAGCCTGTGTGTGTGAACAGGAGTCTTGGCAGGTTCATTTACTCATAGTGTTCGATGGCTCTGCATTTGTGACTGTACTGCAACTGTTACCATGGAATCATTGCATGACTGGGGACCGAAGAGAACTTAAAGACCATCTCATTCCACCCCCTGCCATGGGCAGGGACACCTTCCACTAGCCCAGGTTGCTCCAAGCCCCGTCCAACCTGGTCTTGGACACTTCCAGGGCTGGGGTAGCCACAGCTTCTCTGGGCAACCTGTGCAGGGCCTCCCCCCCTCACAGGGGACAATTTCTTCCACATATCCAACCTAAATTTCCCCTCTTTCTCTTTGAAAGTCTTTCGGTTTCTCCTCAACCATGGCACACCCCTGGGCACACCTCTCAGCAGGTTACAAGGTGATCTCCACCCCCACGGGCCTTGCAGGGAGGGAGAGGTGACCACACACACAAACCTCTGCAGCTCCAAGACATCCACCTGCTGCAAACATTGCAGTGAAAACAGAACTTGTGCTCAGATCCCAAGCGAGAGAGACACTGATGTGGCAATAACTCACACTCTCAGGTATATTTGATCTTTCCTGTATTAATAATCAGCAAGAGCTACAGGATGTCTTAATGCATAACCCAGCACAGCCCAGCCCAACCCTGAGGGCAGGACACCCAAACTACATCACCTGGGAGTAATCCCAAAAGGCTCCAAGGCATCTTTTTGGACAGATAATTTCTCATCCTTTCTTTCCAGATTAGAAATTCACTTCTGACCTTTGGGAGTGGAAAGTCATTTCTCTCCCCTGCTCACCTCACTGACAGAGCTTCTTTGGCCATGCCATCCTTGTCCTACTGCTGCCCACCCACCTGATGGAAGGGTGGCTTCCCTGGGTACTGTTCACACATGGGTCTCCAATTTCTTTTACTTTATTTCACTTACTCATTTATTCATTTCATTTTTTTTTATTTCCATTTATATTTCCACAGTGCTTGCAATCATCTACAGTGAATATAAAACATTAAAAGGGCTGGATCACCCTTCCCAGACACACTCAAGAAAATGAAAGGAGAACACACATTAATAACTTAAAATTCTATGCTTGCAACCCAACAATGGACAGATACAAGCTACGTATTTTCACAGAATCACAGAGTATATTGAGTTGGAAGGGACCCACAAGTATCATCCAGTCCAACCCCTGGCCCTGCACAGGCCCATCCCCAAGAGTCACCCCCTGTGCCCCAGAGGATCAGCCAAACCCTCCTGGAGCTCTGGCAGCCTTGGGGCTGTGCCCACTGCCCTGGGGAGCCTGAGCAGTGCCCAACCAGCCTCTGGGGGAAGAACCTTTTGCTGAGATCCAACCTGAGCCTGCCCTGACACAGTTCCAGCCATTCCCTGGGGTCCTGTCACGGCCAGGACTGTATCTCTGCACAGATTCGGGGGTTGAAATGGATCTTGCAAGTCCTTAGCATTGAATGATATCACCTGTAACACTGTAGGAGAAGCTTTAAAAGCAGATTTGTACAGAAAACAATAAATCATGTGCTGGAATGGCCGGCAGCCAACGTTACTCAAATACCATCTCCAGTGTGGCTATTGCAGCTGAATGGGGCATTCCCCAGAGGTGTGTTTGTGTTTGGGAAGAGATGCTGCTGCAGCGACACCCTAATCACAGCCGGGCCCCCAGCCAGGGCCTGGCACCCGGCCCGGGGAGAGCTGAGCCCTCCGGGGCCAGCAGGGCTGAGCTGGAGCTTTGCCACGCTGCTCCAGAGGGGAGGGATAAATAGCACTGAACTGGAATTACTCCTTCTCCAAGAGCTCATCGGGTGCGTGAGGTAGGAACTGAACTATGCATAACTTGGAAGCCTCGTGCTTTAGCTCTACTTGTATTTTGCTGAGTGCCTCCAGGTACACGAGCAGAGGTAAACTGTGCCTCCAGCAGCTCCTGCCAAGGAGGCTGCAGGAAGGTGCTCTGTGATTTTATGCAAAGAAGAGCTCTGTGTGTCTTCAAAACAGCTCCTCTTTGGGAATCCCTTACACTGTAAATACGTACTTTCATGCACACCAAAATTTAAATTTTGCTTCAAATTTTCTTAAATGTGCCATAGGAAATCAAACTTCTCATGTCTGTGATTTGGGGAGAACAAATAGACACAGTGGCTTGGCTAGCAGTAAGCCCTTCTTCTTTTCCAAACCCAGCCATCCCCAGAAGACTATCATTCCTATGGCAGCAGCAGCACTCAGCCATTATTACAACATTATTTGGGTTAATTACTTTACTTCCTTTTACAAACTGTCTGCATTCTGTTCTGCTGGTCTTCCAAATAGGCGAGTCCTACCAATACATTTATTTTCTGACTTGGTATTTGTATCTAGAGAAACTTCTGCATGCAGAATAACCCTCCCCACTCAGAAATGTTAATCCCATAGATCCTCAAGCATCTTATAGTGATTTTCCCACTTCTTCCATGGCCTAAGCTGCCCTCCCTGTGCAGTTATAAATTTTCATTGCCAGAACACCACTTAACCAAAAACCCCAAGTCATCTGCAGGGCCCTGTGTTTCCCAGATTTCCCAGGGACGGACTTGGCTATGTGAAGGTCAGATGTGTTCCCCAAGGTTTATTCCACAGAGTTCTTCATGTGCTAAGGTCAGGCTTCACTGCACAGACATTTATTGATCCGACTGAGGTCAGACCTCAGTGCAGAAACCCCTTGTGCTGAAGCCTGGCTGAGTTGCTTTGCCTTAGGGAAACTTCCAGGCTGAACATTACTACAGGAACTTGACATCAGCTTTGAAATCTCCTTTTGAGGTCAAAAGACTCCTGACACTAACGGCAGGTCAGCCTAGAGAAGTATTTCTAATTTGTTCAACAGCTACAGCAAAAAAACCCTCTCTGGTTCCACTGAAAATGATCTTGGTTATTAAAACCCCAAAATGCCTTAAAATGCTCAAATCACTTCACTAAAGATTTTCCCACAATAGAAAAAGCAATTTTCTTTTCAGCTGTATTTTTACCTGTGTATTAGCTTCCTTTGTGCTAGGAAACCCAAAATCTACAGTGCTACAGTACCTACTATTTTTCTCACCCAAAAGATCGTTAAAAGCACACCATGAGAACACTGTGCTGAATATGCAATTGAGAATCTCTTTGTGACCACAGCTCTCCATTTCTTCTCTGTGTCATTGTTCTCTGCTGTGAGTACAGCCCAGCTACAAGTTTAGCAATAACCTACTCCACTAGCCATGGAAAATGACTCTTTGGAATCATGGAATCATAGAATCAGTGGGGTTGGAAAAGACCTCCAAGATCATCAAGTCCAATCCTTGATCCAACCCCGCCATGGTTCCCAGAGCATGGCACTGATGCCACATCCAGTCTCACCTTCAACACCTTCAGGGGTGGAGAATCCATCCCCTCCCTGGGCAGCCCATTCCAATGTCTGATAGCTCTCTCTGTAAAGAATTTCTTCCTAATATCCAACCCAAACCTGCCCTGGCACAGTTGAAGACCCAGCCCTCTTGGCCTACTGCTGGTTCCTGGGAGAAGAGCCCAACCCCCACCTGGCTACAACCTCCTGGCAGGGAATTGTAGAGGAGAACAAAAAGACATTCTGGCAGCTTTTGGGTAGAAAATTATCTTTTCCACAGGGCAGAAAATGAAAACAACAAAAAAAACCCCAAAACCCAACAAAAACAACAACAACAAAAAAACAAAGCCAACCAAACAAAAACCCAAAAAACAAACAAACAAACAAAAACAAAACCCATGGGCTTTGGGCAGGAGCATTGATCTTCTGGAAAGCAGAAAGGCTCTGCAGGGGGATCTGGATAGGCTGGATCCATGGGCCAAGGCCAACAGTGTGAGGTTCAACAAGGCCAAGTGCCAGGCCCTACATTTGGGTCACAACAAGCCCCTGCAGCTCCAGGCTGGGACAGAGCGGCTGGAAAGTGCCTGTTGGGAAAGGCCCTGGGGGCGCTGGTGCCAGGGGCTGGACATGAGCCCAGGTGAGCCCAGGGGGGCAAGAGGCCAATGGCCCCTGGGCTGTGCCAGCCATGGTGTGGCAGCAGGGCCAGGGCAGTGACTGTCCCTGTGCTGGCCCTGCTGAGGCCCCTCCAGGGCTGTGTCCAGTTCTGGGCCCTCATGGAACAGAGACATTGAGGGGCTGGAGCGTGTGCAGGGAAGGGAACGGAGCTGGGAAGGGGCTGGAGCAGCAGGAGCAGCTGAGGGAGCTGGGGGGGCTCAGCCTGGAGAGAAGGAGGCTCAGGGGGGACCTTCTGGCTCTGCAAGTCCCTGACAGGAGGGGGGAGCCGGGGGGGGTCAGGCTCTGCTCCCAGGGAACAAGGGACAGGAGGAGAGGGAACGGCCTCCAGCTGTGCCAGGGGAGGGTCAGGTTGGACATCAGGAGGAATTCCTTCCTGGAAAGGGTGTTCAGGCACTGGCAGGGGCTGCCCAGGGAGGTGTTGGAGTCCCCAGCCCTGGAGGTGTCCAAGGAAGGCCTGGCCGTGGCACTGAGTGCTCTGGGCTGGGGACAAGGTGGGCATGGGGCACAGAGTGGACTTGATGATCTTGGAGGTCTTTTCCAACCTTAATGATTCTGTGACCCTGTAAGTTGATCACTTCATTTCTGTCTCTCTTTACAGGGGTGGAGTAGCAAGCATGTGGTGGGGTGTACATATGAGCACCACCTCTTACCAGCCTCCTCCTGGACCCCCAAAATTCCCCTTCCCACCTCCCCAGGTGCTGGATGAGGCCATCACAGAACACCAACTGACCTGCCAAGTGCGTGGGGGTTGGGTTGGGAATCATCCATACTCATAGAACCTGCACAGGACAGGCCAGGACGGGTGAGCTCAGAGAGGGCACCTGCTGGGCAAAGGGCCACTGCTCTGCAGATATGCAAGAATGCAAAATAACTGTGGAGCTGGTGTACAAATCATAGAATCATGGAATGTTTTGGGTTGGAAGGGACCTTAAAGACCATCTCATTCACCCCCTGCCATGGGCAGGGACACCTTACACTAGCCCAGGTTGCTCTAAACCCCATCCAACCTGGCCTTGGACACTTCCAGGGATGGGGCAGCCATGGCTTTTCTGGGCAACCTGTGCCAGGGCCTCACCACCCTCACAGTCAAGAATTTCTTCCAAATATCCCATCTAACCCTGCCTTCTAGAAGTTTGAAGCCATTCCCACTTGTCCTGTCACTACAGTTCCTAATGAAGAGCCCCTCACTATCTTCCTTGTAGCCCCTTCAATACTGGAAAGGCTCTCCACACAGTCTAATGAAGTCTCTACACAGTCTTCTTTTCTCCAGGCTGAATAGTCCCAACTTTCTCAGCCCGAAATAAAGCTTTCAATAAAGAAAGCATGCAAAAAATAATCTTAAAGGACAACAACATTAAGGTTGTAAAGCAGAGAAATGTTACACTGGCATGGGGGATTTATAACTCTGCAAGAAAACACAGGATTTCCCTTGCCATGGGCTGGTGTGAGTACTGTAGGAATGCCAGTTAGTGATCTAGAAGGACTCGGTATAGAAAATCCCATTGCTGAGGACATGCAAATTCATCTACAATGAAATCTGCGAGTTCCAGCTTGGGAAAAGGTCCTCAGGAATCTAAAGAAAAAAAAACAAACCAGAAGAAACAGGATCCTCTCCACTGCCCAGGCTGCCCTGGCAAGGCTCCAGTGTGGTGATGGTTAAACGCCCAAGAGAGTTGGGGCAGCCACAACCTCACACAGATCCCCAGGGAAGGGGCTGGGAAAGTGCAGGCATCAGTGTTTTCCTGCTTCTCTGTCAAGCACTGGAAGAAGATGCATCAGCAAAATCATCACCATATAGAAACATAGAATAATGGACTCATTAAGGTTGGAAAAGGCCTTCAAGATCATCAAATCCATCCTGTGCCCGATCCCCACCCTGTCCCCCAGCCCAGGGCACTGAGTGCCATGTCCAGTCACTCCTTGAACACCTCAGGGATGGGGACTCCACCATCTCCCTGGGCAGCCCCTTCCAGTGCTTGACAACAATGATTGTTTTCAGAGAAACCCCTATGCATCCACAACATGTATTGCTGTCATTTGTACCAGTATGGAAAATGTCACAGTTTAAATGAAAAATCTGTTAAACTGCCTTGAACACCAGTGTCTCAACTACAAATATTTTTATGTATATATATATAAAATATTTTATATATAATATTTATATATATGCTGACATATTATTAATGGCCAGTCTTCGCGAGCGAAGATTTGGGAAAGGTCATTAGCCCTTCGAGCCTGCGCAGTGGATTTTTTAGGTGAGACACATATTTATATATATGGTCATCCTCTGCCTTTCTGTCTCATTGACTTCTGCGCTTCACTGTTCTTCTCATTTCACACCAGAAGTTTTCAAGAGCTCTTCTAGAACCCTTTCCCAAGGGCTGGTAGGAATCTGTATCCATCTTTTCCCAAAAATACCACCCACTTAACACAAGATGGCACCGCTGACCATCTAAGGGGCTGAACACAAGGCCAGGTACACTGGACAGGTTTGAAATCTGTTTATTCTACTCATTTTGTGACTCCTGCAAAACCTCCTCTCGGTGCTTCTCCTCCCCATTCTCCACTGTTCTTTGCCACAGACACAATCTGTTTCCTTGCTTCATGTTCCATTAGACACTTGGTCAAAACAAGCTAAAATCTTCCCCAAACCTAATTAATCCTGGCAGTAGCCTGGTTAATAAAAGTGAAAAAAAGGAGTCGGGATAGATTAAAGAATTACTCAGCTTCGTACTGCATCTCTACTTATTTTTAAGTACAAGCAGCTTACAAGCTTACAAGCTTTGCCTCAGTGGGAGGTGAACAATGCTCCACAAACCATCATGTGAATTGAAATTCAAATCTCTGTGAAGCCTGTGAGTGAGCTGCCAGCTTGGGTTGGACACTCAGCATCCACCACCCCAATGGCAACCAGCCCTTCCTGATCCCTCACATCAAACTCCTCTGATGGGACTGTATTTCAGTCACTACCAATCTTGACCCAATTACTAAAGGGGGAACAAAAATAGGTTGACTTGATATTAGCATTTCTCTAGAGTCCCCAGGAAGCAGAAGCACTGGGGGAAGGGTGAATTCCTTCCCTATACGACTGAGAATTACATCCTTTCTCTGGAATGTTTAAGCTAATGTGGAGAATTTAACAGATATTAATGTTCTTGCTGTGGAGTCATACACACCAGTCTACAGCTTGAGATGAATTACTTGTGAATCTTGTTCTATTTCCATAGCTCTCTCTTGAATCAAGGCAAGTTTTATGGCACTTTATGCTTTTTTTAAAGTAGATTTCCCAGATTATTGTCCTTCTGTGAAGTCCATGGCATTCCTTCAGCTGTTTTATACCTAGACAGGACTGAAATCTCTAGACCCCGCTCAAAGTTACATTCGCATGGCTCCTCATTTCTTGAGGATACAGAAGCAAACCTTGCCCTGTATGTATTCACCAGGATCACATTTTCCAGTACCTTCTCCTCCCCTTAATGCTTCAAAGTACTTTGGCAAAGAATCCAAACCCACAGGCCAGACTTCTGTGGTTCTCACAAAATACAACTGACCAACCAACGGGCTTTAATGGTTTCAGTCTCACCATCAGCTACAGAATAACTCCTTGGGTTTCAGCAGAGGTAATTCAGACATTGTCCAGTTTTATCACCTCAGTGTTACTGAAAAAAACATCCAGAAATCATCATTCAGGGCTGTTACTGAGTATTTATAGAAAGGTTCCTCCTACAGTCATGGCCAGAGTCAGAGAATCATCACAGAATCACAGAATGGTTTGTGTTGGAAGGGACCTTAAAGATCATCTCATTCCAACCCCTGCCATGGGCAGGAACACCTTCCACTAGCCCAGGTTGCTCCAAGCCCCGTCCAACCTGGCCTTGGACACTTCCAGGGATCCAGGGGCAGCCACAGCTTCTCTGGGCAACCTGTGCCAGGGCCTCATCACCCTCAAATTAGGAAGAATTTCCTCCTAACAGCCAATCTAAATCTTACCTCAGGAAAAAGGATTATGTACACAGTAATTTGCTTATATCTCTTGTATTTTTTATGTATTTATCTCTTGTATATTTGATGTATAAGCAGAGCATTGTGTACATACAACCAACCATGAGAAGCCTTGGGAGCTACCATGGAGGCTCAGCAGTTCCTCAAAGCTCACACTGATAATTCAACTTTCACACAGAACTTCATTTTTTTACACAGATGAAAATCCATTCAAAATCATACAAATAGTTGTGCAACACAAAATCAATAGTCCATTTTGCTAATGAACTTTTCCTGGTAGTATCAGTGCTCCCTGTTTTATAGGACGGAGTAAATATTTCCCGAGCTGACACAGCACAGCCCTGCCCACTGAGGTATCTTGGGCATCTTTCACACTGCAGGCCCTTGGATTCCAGTATATCTGAAGCACCACAGAAATCCTCCTGTCCTGATGCCTGAACTCCAGAGCTGAAGTGTTTCCAGTACAGGCACACAGGGACTGAGCAGAGAGCCCTTGGGCAGTGCCCAGCCTGCCCCTCTCTCTGAACATGCCCTCGGGGTTGTTGTGCACTGTGCTCTTCATGGTAAATCCCAGCCCCAGGAAAGTCACTGGAGGATCATTATGGATTTTTTGGACATGAGCAAAATTACCTTAAATCAGAGCTACAACCAAGCTTGCCTTGCTCTAGCCAGCCTTTGTCAAAAGGAAAGCAAAATCCTGCCTTTGCTTTCCAGCCTTGCCTTCTCTTCCATGGATACAAGATGCCACAGCTCCCTGGGGAATGTACAGCTCTTCTGTCACTGTGACAACACAGAATATGGAGGGGCTCTGAGTACGACCTCCTCAAATCTCAGTGCACAGGACAGAGCACTAATCAGTGTGCTAGTTTTAATTGCTTGATCTTTGTTTCCTTAAGAGAAAAAATCATCCTGTTAGATAAAATTCTCATTTTCACCAATAAAATTCCCCTCACTGAATTTTTCTGCAGTTATCTTAGCATTTCTTGTACTTCTAAATTCTCCCTTTCACTCATGTCTTATCCCTATTTTTTTGCTAAGCTTTATGTTTGGGAGGTGACAGGAAAGATGGAGAGAGATTATTTACAAGAGCTCGTAGTGACAAGAAAAGGGCAAATGGCTTCCCACTGCCAGAGGGCAGGGATAGATGGTATATTGGGAAGAAATTCCTCCCTGTGAGGGTGGTGAGGCCCTCACAGAGAAGAATTGCCCAGAGAAGCTCTGGCTGCCCTTTGATCCCTGGAAGTGTCCAAGGCCAGGTTGGACAGGGCTTGGAGCAACCTGGGCTAGTGGAAGGTGTCCCTGCCCATGGCAGGGGATTGGGAAAAGATCATCTTTGAGGTCCCTTCCAACCCAAACCATTCTGTGATGATTCTGCAATGATGTTTTTTAACAGATGAATTGTTTTACCAGATGATATATTGCCTTTACCTGTTTTCTGTGTTTCCATGTATTTACACACTTCACCTTCCTCACTCTCCCATCTCAGACTTGGTCTTCTTGTATTTTTAGATACAGGTTGAGAGATATTCAGTATCAATTGATTTATTTAATTTTTCTATTACATGTATTAGAGTTTTGATATTTTGGCTGTCTCCCAGCAAGGAAGCCTGAAATCCTCATTTTCAGTATCTCTCACATACTGCTACTAAAGAATATCAAGCATCTACTGTTGTGGGAGAACATGCTCTGAGTATAAAGGTTCATGGTTAAAACACCAGCAAAGCACCTCTGAAGAAGTGCATTTGGCCTCAAAATCAGGCTGAATCTCTTTTGTAATGAGTACTTTTGGGATGCTTTCACCAGGACAGGGACCCAAAGCAAGTCAAAAGAATTTTCCTATTAAAAGAAATTCAGGTGTAACTCCAAAGTGCAAATTTATCCAGAATTCATTCTCTTTGATTCCATTTGGTTCAGCTTTTCTACTTGCAGCAATAACTCCTCGTTCACAGGCTCCAGTAGGAATGACCTGTTCCTTGGCAGGGGAAGCTGTTATGTTTCCATCACAATACATAAGCTTCACTTCAAGAGGGTGAGCAGGCAATGGGCCAAAAGCAGAATACCTCTGCTTTGCAGTCATTTCTGAGCCAAGATATTATTTTTACTTTTCAAAAGCATGAGTGGTCAGAAAGCACTGCTTGGAAATTGAAACCATCCTCCATGCACCTCTGCTTCTCTCAAATGAAGCTTGCAAAGCATTGTGGATTACATGACTCATGCAGCGTGGGGACTGCCTTTTCCCCATCAATAATGCTCTCAGTTTATATTTCTCATTTGCACCTCAGTGCTTTTCCTGTCTTTATCACAGAAGTGAAGAGCCAAGACTGTGGATTCCTGCAAAGAGCCCTAACCCATGTGGGTCAGGAGCTCACTGGACGGTGCATCTTCATCGCTCCTGGACATCTGGTCGTGATCCGTCTTCCCTCCTGAAGGGTCCTGTGCAATCCCGCTGGAAACTTGTGAGCAGCACTTGGAGTTTGTTAAACAGCCCCAGTACATCTTCCCTCGCAGCACCCCGTGCCACACTTTGATTTGCCTGACAGTTATACAGCCACCCAGGGCTCGCTTTAATCTCAGTAGCAGCCTAAAGTATTTTTCAAGCTGGAGCGTTTCTGTTTTATGACTGTCCAAATGCTGCAATGTTCTGCTGGTATTACTGTAAAAATCCAGGGGAAAAAAGCTTAAGCTGAATTAATTCTGTGCAGATTGTGATTCTCCATGGGTCAACTCAATTCTTAGTGCTGACTCAATCAAATTTGGCCCCCTCTGCCTGCAGACAGTGGGTTACGGCCCCAGTTTCAAGTCCGGGGGCTGATCTCTCAGGTATTATACAAGGAGGTATTTTGCCTGGGAGGCACCACATCTCACTCTGCTTTTGAAACTCTCCGGTTTTAAAACACTGGAAGTACCTCGTGCTCATGCCAGTTGAACCAATCCTGCCATCCATGGTCAGCTGGGACCCCACAGTGACTGGGGCTGGTTGGAAATTAAAGTTTGGTAAATCCCACAGCACTTTGCAGTGTATTTCGTATCCACAAACAATAATGCCTTGACCTACCTCCCTTAGCATGCCAACCTAGACACTGAAGCTGAATGGAAATGAAGTAAAACCAGTCTGGAGATAAGAGCTGTGCAGGAGAGGAACTGGGATCCCTCCCCAGATGCTTTGGGCTCTGGCAGTCTCTCCTCTGCTCTCACTCTCACAGCCACTGGCACATCTCTTAGACCATGAACCTTATAATTCAATTCACAATAGAGCGTTTCTTTTTATTTCTGCAGAGTGCCTCGTGTAACCCTCATGCCCTACATCACAGACTCACAGAATATGCTGAGCTGGAAGGACCCACAAGGATCAAGTCCAACTCCTGGCCCTGCACAGGACACTCCAACAACCCACCCTGTCCCTGAGAGCGTTGTCCAAACACTCCTTGAGCTCTGTCAGGTTTGGGGCCATGACCACTGCCCTGGGGAGCCTATTCAGTGCCCAACCACCCTCTGGGGGAAGAACTGGTATGCTCTCACTGCACAGTTTTATTGCTTCTACTCCCTCTGTCCTCAGCTGTCCCTTACAGGCGCTGCCACCCAGTGTCACCAAGCTGCTCCAGACAGTTGAGGGAAGACACCAGTAGGTGAGAGCCTACAGTTATTTACCTGTCATACAGTGCACAGCACACTACAACAAATGACTCAAGGCTCCACTTGAAACAGATCAGGATTAAGAGCAAAAATATACATTCACAGGCCCATTGTTCAAGCTATGAAGCTAAAAGTCTCAACGTATATAAAACATGTTTTGCATGCAAAGGACTTGTAGTTTGGTGAGGGAAAAGAAAAGGTGACTGAAGTCCTAAAGAAGCCTCGATTTTGTACCAGGTAAATGCTGAAGTAGTTCAACGTTTTTCTAACTTCCTCCATAAAATCTCACTGATTTAAATTCCTGGCATACCTCAGTCCCCTGGATTTTAAAAGGTTATCTTCTATTTGGAAGTAGGTTTCAAACATCTAAGCAGCCCAACTACCTGTAAAAGCACAAATTAAGACACAATGTGTTGTCCCACCCTCAAGAGGAAGGAATGGGGCTTTACACACAGGTACCTGCACTGGAGTATTTATGATATAACAAGAGAAAACAGCTATGACCAAACTCATTGATACAGGTACAAAGAAAGGGATGAAACACAATTCCAACTACATGGATATTCCAGCAGCTGCCTCAGAAATGGCAGAGGGCTGAACACTCTTCCCCACTGTACCAACAGCAGACAATGAGAATCCCAGACGGGGTCAGACTGGAAGGGCCCACAGCGGCTCATCTGGTCCCACCTCCCTGCCCAGCAGGGCCATCCCACAGCACATGGCACAGGATTGTGTCCACACAGCTGTAAAAGATCTCCAGTCAGAAGACTCCACACCCTCTCTGGGTCACTGCCCAGCAAAGAAGTTCTTCCTCCTGTCCAGCTGCAACTTCCCGGGCATCAGTTCCTGCCCGTTCCTCTTGGGCCATTGCTGGGCCCCCCGAGCAGAGCCTGCTCCAGCCTCTGCCCCCTCCCTGCAGCCCCTGACACACCCTGGGGAGGGCCCCTCTCAGGCTCTGCTCTGGAGGCTGAACAGCCCCAGCTCCCTCAGCCTTTGCTGCTCCCAGAGCTGCTCCATCCCTTGGGCATCTCGGCAGCCTGCGCTGGCCCCGCTGCAGGAGCTCCCTGGCCCTGCTGTGCTGAGGAGCCCGAGCTGGGCCCAGCCCTGCAGATGTGCCTGCCCAGGGCTGGGCAGAGGGGCAGGATCCCCTCCCTGCCCTGCTCCAAGGCTCTTCCTGATGCCCCCAGGATCCCATTGCCCTCCTTGGCCCCCAGGACACACGGCTGGGCAGGGACAGCTGGTTGTCCCCCAGGACCCACAGGGCCTTCTCCTCTCCAGCAGGTCCCCCCCCAGTCTGTGCTGGTGCTGGGTTTGTTCCTCCCCAGGTGCAGGACCCTGCATTTGCCTTTGTTGAATTTCAGCCAATTCCTCTCTGCCCATTTCTCCAACATCTTGAGGTCCTTCTGAAGGGGTTCACAGCTCTCTGGGGATTGGCCACTCCTCCCAGCTTTTTTAATCATCAGTGCAGATGACCCAGGACATGAGAAAAAAACAGGAGGAACCATAAAAGGGTAAGAGGAAACAGGCAAGAAAAAACTATATTCTCTCCCGATTATTACACCTTTATTAAAAAGGCACTCTGGTACAGAAGTCCCAGATTGAAATCTATACTCACTCCTACTTTCACTTCATACCAGCTTTCTGTTGTTCCAAGGTGCCATATATAAAACTGGGAATAAACAAGCTTGGGAGTGGAAAAATTCCTGTCAATCCATCATTAGCCCTCAGAGATAGTCATTTCTCCAATGACAACATGCTGTGCCATCCTATGCAGCACATGAAGGGAACCAGAAAGCCTGTTAGCATTCAGTCAACATTTGTGTGAGTAGTTTTGTATCTGATAAGGGGCTTTTGGATTGTTCTTTTTGAATGTTTTTCCGATTAAACTTACTTTTTTTAAGTAAACATCTTGCTGTGATATAACAGCTATGGTAGGAGCTAATAATACATGAAGGCTTTGGCAGGAGGGATGAATATTTGAAAGGGGAAAAGCTGGGAATTCTTACCAGCACTGCCATTCATTTAGTGTCAAACACTAGGCTTTGCTCCATTTAAAACTGATCTGTATTTTTTGCTTTGAAAACCAGTAACAAAGCTTACGGGTGGGCAGAACATTAATAATGGAAATGGCTCCATGTGTGAATAAGAACTTGTTTTCTGAGGGATGCTCAGCAAAGCAGGATAGTCTTTATATGTGGTAAGACTATAAGTGCTTTGTCATCTTCCCAGTCTCAAAAATTGTTATACAGAATTACAAAGACGCTCTTCTTGGTCAGAGTTCACTAACAGATCTGTTGAAACAGAGATCTGCTTGCAAGACACCAAAACACAATTTGTTTTGCTCTAAATTGCCATCAAATCTGGGAAGATGCAGCCATTGCTCATACAAGAGGGAGTTCCCCCCTCTCATGGCCTACTGTTCCTGATGCAGAGCCTTTGGACTGACACTGCAGAGTCCCCTAGCTGCCCGGGAAGTGCCCTTTGGAATAACACTGGGGAGCAGCAGCTCCCATTTACCATCTCAGATGGGCTGTTGCCATCACTGCCTCCTCCCCACCCTGACCCTCCACACTACCTGCAGCACATGAAATGTATGTTGATATGCATGATGTAAGTTTATTCTTCATGTAGACACACCTGTGACTACATTTTGTACATTTAAGACTCTTTTAACAGAAACAGAATTGTGTTATATAGCCAGAGAGCAAGATCAGCAGAGGACAAGTCCCAGTGACTGCTCGGGGCACTGCTCCCACTGGGTTATGCAGCTGCACTCAGTCAGAAATACCCTCCACTAAAATCAAACACCAGCCACTAAAATCACAGCAGTTACCCTGGTGGAAACCCAAAGAGAGGATGAAAGTCAATACCATTTTTCCCTCACCACATAAGGTTTGACATGGCTTCTTTTCAAACAGCATTTTCACCAGCTTTCACAGGAGCACAAACTGCTGGAGCTGATGCAAAAACCTGGCTCACCACGATGGAAGTACCAGTGCCTTCCTGTAGTAGGCAGATGCTCTGCTTTGGTGTACAGCAGCTGTGGTCAGAGACATGGTGCCAACAGACAGCTCTCAAAGGCTACATGATCAAGAGACCACTAATACACAGATTATACAGCATGAAAAACACATTGCCTTTGTGTAATGCTGTGTCAGACCTTACAGCTGCAGACACTGCCCCCAAAAAACAGATACATACTGAATATTGTGGGAGTTTTGATCACTGCAATATATAAGAAGGATATTAAGTCATTAGAAAGCATCCAAAGGAGGCCAAATGAGAGCACAAAAAAAGCCAGCTAAGAAGAAAAAGGAATAGCATAGCTTGGGAGAAAGTATAAAGGTGTCACTGCAGGAGTATTGCAGAGGATGAGGTTACAGAGCAAGGTGGCAATCCAGGCTAGGCAGGGAAAAGCATCCCAGGGGACCTCATGACTAGGGAAGGAACTGGGATGGCAAAGTTGGTTCAGCCTTTGGAAGAGGAGACTGAGGGGAGACCTCACTGCAGTTCCAACTGCCTGGGCAGGGGCAGAGGAGGGGCAGGGACTGAGCTCTGCTCTGGGGGACCAGGGACAGCACCCAGGGAACGGCTGGAGCTGTGTCAGGGCAGGGTCAGGTTGGATGTCAGGCAAAGGTTCTTCCCCCAGAGGCTGGTTGGGCACTGCCCAGGCTCCCCAGGGCAGTGGGCACAGCCCCAAGGCTGCCAGAGCTCCAGGAGGGTTTGGATGATCCTCTGGGGCACAGGGGGTGACTCTTGGGGATGGGCCTGTGCAGGGCCAGGGGTTGGACTGAATGATCCTTGTGGGTCCCTCCCAACTCAACACATTCTGTGATTCTGCCCTGCCCATGCAGAGTGAGGAGTTGAGAGGCAGAGGACATCCATTATCACTGTGTGCACACATTTAAACACCTGCAGGAACAGGCATATAAACTACCAACATTTACATTTTCATAGTGCTGTTGATCTCCTTGACTATACTGGCTCACAGTGAGATTTCCTCTCAAGCAGGTGGAATCCTTATTCCCTGCCATGGAGATGTGAGAGCAAGGTTTGCATTCACTCCTCCCAAACCAAAAGGCAAGACAGACGTTCTTGACAGCAGCCCATGCAACAAACCTTGGATGCTCACAGCAGCTGGCAGCTGCTTTCAGAGACATATAATGGGCCTCACATGCTGCTGCTAGTGAAATAATCTGAGGTCAAACCAATATTTTTATAGAACAACTGTGTTTATCACTGTACGTCAAGATAACACACACAAATATTTATCTTCCCTGAAACCATTTTAAACAGAGTATTACTACCAGTTGGAGTTTTGCCGAAACATTTAACAGTCACTTCCTGAAGTATCCTACAACTTCCAGTACAGTTTGCCTGTGTTTAGCTCTGA